AAGATGAATAAAACTGCAAAGAAATTTAAAGCAATGTCTATCAGAGCTCTGCTAAATCCATCAACTGTAAATCTACCAAGGCATGGATGTCCACCTAAGCAGACAGACCAGACAGGAGAGCACTAATCAGAGAAAAAGACATGAGGTTGCAATGGTACCTTACCAGTCTTTACTGGAGGAGCTGCAGAAATCCACCTCCTTCCAAGTAATTGCTGTGTCCCATACATAGCTTTATCACAACTAGACAACTTATGTTCCTCCAGAGCTGTGGGTCCCTGCAGCTCCTTTTCTGACTCAGTCTTTCAGTTTGAGAGGACAGTCATGTCTTTGTAGGTCTGCATTTGGTCCATCCCATCTCTATCATATACATGTGCAAAAAATGAGGTACAGTTTTCATTAAGCCAGAAAATCTCAGGGCTCATGCTTTCTTAAATTACTATTTATATTGAGTAAACTTGTCTTTGTTCAAATTCTAAATTTATTCAGATTTTATGAGCACAATAAAAAAAATTCTCCCCTTGACGTTCATATAAATCAACTTAACATGTCACCATTTGCTGCATCATGATTTTCACTTTGTTACATTGTGTTGAGTCTCTAAAGTGAGAGAAAAATGAGATTCTGCTATAGCCGAATGACCTATGCAGAGAATATATTTGCTGCAAATTCTTGGAAATGCACCACTGTCCAAACCACCCTCACCTTTCCAAGTCATTCAAACTGGCCTCCATCTCTTCCCATTCTGCAATAAGCCGACTGATTTATGGCAAGTGAACTCAAGCACAGGCAGGCATATGAATGAAAATTTGTCAAGTTTGCTTTTCCCACTCTGGTCTGTGAATACTGCCAGAGAACCACATTGAAGCAGCAGCTTCAGCAGAGCAATCAAAGCCTTTGTTTTTTTCTCACCAGCCCACAATCCCACCTGCTTTAGCGAGACGAAAAGAGTCCTTTAAAAACACAGAGGCGGCATGATTTATTATTCTAATTAGTCTAAGTGAGACTTTTAAAAAGCCACAATTACACTAAACAAGCAAAGCAGTTTCCAGGTTGACGACCTCTTCTTCTGGTCAGTTCTGGTAAGAAGCTTGCATCCACTCTTTAACTGCAGGAATGTTAATTTCAACTTTTAATGACTTCCTTTAACTTTTCTTTTTGGAGGCTGGATGGATATTCAAACTCCAATTTCAGTGATGATTTTAAGCAAAAATTGTGTTCACAAGTCTGAATTTACTGTTGATTTTCATAAATCCACAGGATCAAAATTCTGCATTGTAAAAGCAAAAGTGGGCCAGGTCAAAACTTTGCCATTGTATGCATTTTAAGTTCTGGATGTAACTTATTTACTCACCTGAAACAACATCAAATTGAATTTAAACATCACTGGTACTGGAGAAAAATCATCTTAAGTTCAAATTAAGCTGTCTGTAGCATTAGCTTTGGATGAATGTTCCATCCAAACACCCAACTGGTCCACGTTCACAACATCAAACTCTAGATTTGCTCTAGAAATAGTAAAATAAAAATGTAGGTAGTCTCCTTTCTTTCTAAATTTGTGACAGCCAAACAAACCCACAGCATGATGCTACCTCCACCATGTGACAACTGATACTGTGTTCTAAGTTTTGAAAGTCTTCTCTTGACTCCTATAAACTTATTTCTTGACATTTTGGCTAAACAAGTCAATCTTTGTCCCTTTTTGATCATAAAACCTTTCTCCAGAAACATTTTGGTTTGTCCATGTGTGCAACTGCAAGTTTCATTCAAACTTGATTACATCTGAGGGTGAGAGTTTGGAGAAGATGTTTGAAATTTGGATACAGATGGTGATCCAATAGGTCCAAACCTGATGAAAACTTATTGAGTACTCTTAAAAGAAGGGTCCGTCTTAGGAGATCAACCAGTTTAATGGAGCCAAAACAAGTTGAAATCCAGAATGATGCCAGAAATTTGTTAGAAATTTGCTAGAAAAAATGTCTGGATTTTCTTTTCTTGCTTGAAGGTATTAAAAAAAACATTCACTGTGTGAATGTTAATATTTGAGTCTATATTTATCATTTTGACACATTATGTATGGGAAAAAATATGTTAAACTTAGACCTGTCCACCAATTTCTTGTTTTTCATATTTATTATAGTTTTTCACTTTAAAAAACATTCCACCCTGGAAAAGTAAAAGTTCAAATAAATCATTAAAAGCCCCACGTTAATGAAATTGATACCAGTGACTGTATTTTGAGACATGTAAAGAGTCTGTCTAAGCAGTGCTTTATGTCTCCATGAAGTGAATTTAAACAAGCATGTCAGCTTACAGTGCATACGGCAGGTATGTGACCTGGCTAACCAAGTGTCTCCCATCAAACCCGGGGCTTAACAAGGAGTGATACCCTGGTAAAGTCTGCCGCAGTGTTTAATTCCAGGTCATTTCATAATCTCTTTGATAATCGCATCTGCACATCTCTCCGCATTCACTGTCTGACAATCAAACAGCTGCAAGCTGGCATGCTCGCTAAATCTTCCGCTACAACACACCAGCTATACAGTCAAATATATGCATGCAACCACTCCATGCATGCATGTCTGCACAAGTGCTTGTAAGAAAGCGTGTACGTACGCTCATGTGCACAAAAGCGCTCAAGCACACACATATCCACTCCTTCTACATTCATTTGATCACAGAAATTCCTTCAAATTAAAGTAGATCCTTCTAAAATCACAACTCTGCAGAGGTTACAGAAATGATATTGATTGATTTTTAAGTGGGAAGCGTGTTTTTAGAAGCAGAGAAGAATGGGGAGAAAAAGAACACACTGTGTCTACTGTATTTATGTAGTGTCTTCACATCCCTTTGGTCCTCTGTACCTCATCCCTTCTCCTCTTCCCACACCGCCTCTCCAAACTCACAGTTACACCCCAATCATCCGGCATCAACAGGCATGTGAACCTAGCACTTGGTTCATCTCTCCTTCTACCTTCCGCTCTTACTCTGCCTGCTCTGTTTTCATCTGTGTGCTTCCACTCTCCTAGCTTTCGGGTAATTACCTGGCATTTGCATTGCAAAGTCCCTCTGTTCAGCATTCAGCTCCTCCACAGGTGACTGAGCTTCATTTCTCTGGCAGATAAGAGAGGGGAGAAAGGAAGACAGGGAGGAGGGAAGGGTTGTAGAGGAGGCTGTGATGTTATTTTGGCTTGCAGAATATGGGAACAATGCCCTGAGTACTTCTTTTTTGTTGTTCTCATTGACTGAATCAGAGAACAAGGAATGATACTTTATGCTCCCACTGACAAACAATTATCATCATTACCGTCCCATCGCTAGGTCTTCCTGAAGTTCAAGTTGAAAGCAGTGGAGAACTGTACCTTTAAAAGACTTTGATAGAAAATGTCATTCTTTGATATTCAGTTTTATTTACCCACTTATATATTTTTTTTATGTGAAAACATAGTGAGATAAGTTTGATTCACAATACCAAAGTACTTGGCTAAATCAATAACGAAGCTGTAGAAGTTGCACAGATGATTCACTGCGGCGGCCCCTGAAGGGAAACACTGAAGAATTAATTAATGAATTTGGTTTTAGATTACTTAGAAAAAGTATTTAAAATACTTGAGTTTTCTTCAAGAATCATAGTTATATATTATCATAAATGAAAGTCTTCCGGTAGAGCCAAGATGGTTTCCAGTATCCATATTAATTCATATTTAGTGTTTAAACTATTAAAACAGGCATTTATAAGTGTTTTAAAGGGGCTCTCAAGTATTCACAGAGCTATTGATGGACAGTTCTGGTCCCTAAGTGCCCTGCATAATATATTTAATAATCCAATGGTGTCTTCACAGGTCCGCCTAAAAAAATCAATCAGACAGCTGCTGCTGATCCAGAACGCTGCTGTTTGTGTTCTCACTAAAACCAGGAAGTGAGAGCACATCAACCCAGTTTAAAGTCCTTCCACCCTGAGAGAGTAGACTTTAGTTAGTTAGTTTATAAATTACTGAACGGCTCAGCACAAAAACATATTAAAGATCTGCTCTGGGAAGATCAACCTTCCAGACCTCTCAGGTTTTCTGGATCTGGTCTGCTTCGCCTCCCCAGAACCAGAATCAAACGCAACATTCAGCTTTATGTGCCACAATAAACTTCCCAAAAACTGTGAAACAGCTGAAACACTGAGTCTTTTTAAATGGAGACTAAAAACCCCCCTGCTTAGAGTTGCTTTTGAACAATAATAAATGAAACATTGATCAACATATTTGATGTGTTGATGATTTTAACAAATTCACTTCACAAAATCTAATGTGTGTTATTGTCTTTCACAATTGTTGACTGTATCGTGTGTTTATTGATCAGTTTTTAATGTTTTCACAGTGTAAAGCACTTTGAAGGCCATGCTGCTGAAATGTGCTTTATAAATAAACTTGACTGATTGATAGTATACAAAGTAGATAAACCACTTTCATTAGCTACTGAAGTGATTGATATCAAGCTTTCTGTTGAACACATTTCATTTGGAAATGTTTCCTCTCAGTAATTTTATATTTTAACTGTTATGTATTTGTGTTTATTTTTTACTCTTTGAAACACCAGAATTTGCATACTTTTATAATTTTGTGTGCCAAATTTTTTTTAAAATATTATATTAATTATAAACAAATACATATTTACTTTTTTTTGTTTCTTTGATGGCTGCTTCACTGTTTTGTTGAGTAAAACTGTAAGTAGTGCTACTCTGACTTGAGGACAGTTTTTGGTTTACTCTCACCACTTCTGCTGGTGTCTAATGAAAACATCCAGTTACCAAAACTTGCACAGACCATTAAAACTGGTACTTCATACATCCATACTTTAACCTGCTCCACCAGAAGCACCTCCCACAAAACGGCAGCAGATAATTGGTGAGTGCTCATTTGCATGCTGAATGTGGTGGATATTTATTTAAATTTAATTTCGTTCCCGCACTCGGTGCTCTGCAGGCTTTTGTGCCAAAGTCATATTAACCCCTTGACTAGTTAATATGCATCGCACGACGTGGCCCACGTGCCATGAATATTCATCCTGATGGCGTTTTTTTTTTTTTTTCCCCCTTTCCGGTGTCGCTCCCTCCCGTCCTCGCCGTTTAACGTAAGTCCGTGATGGGGGCCGTTATGAAACCTTCCCGGAAGGCTCCGCCGTGCTCGGCCTGGTTTCCACAGACACTCAGAAAGTGCGCAGGGCTGCTGCTGGTGTACGTGTCGCTGCTCGCCGCTGACAGAATGACCGATAAGACCGAGCTGCCGAGCAGAGAGCGGGCTCTGAAGGGAAGGGAGGAGAGGATGGTCGTAGCAGGTAAATTTCAGAGTAACGTAAGTTTATAAAAGTTTAAACGAATCGTGGAGTCGGATTTTTTTTCTGGAGCCACGTCTGCTGAAACTAATAAAGCTTTGTTATATAATGAAAAAAAAAAAAAGACCCACACACACATTGACTGTAGAAGAACTGAGGTTCAAAATAATGCAAGGAAACAACTTCATCTATATTTTTTCTTCCAGAATTTTATAATATTTTTATGTATACCTAAATCACAATGGAAAGCTCTGCTGATTAATTTGCAGCAACAGATGGGCATGACATCATGAACTGATAGCACTTTAATCACCAACTAACTGGATACAAACAAGATTCTCTAAATATAAACTCCTAAATAGAACACACAGATCAGGCATAACATTATGACCGTCTGCTGCACTAGTGTGCTACGCAAACCTACAGGTAAAATAGGTTTGTTTTAAAGGCAAAATCAACTCTTCAAAACCCTGGCTTTGTGGCAGAGTGAAGTATCCTGCTGAAAGGAGCTACACCCATCCATGCAGGGTCCTATCCAGACTGTACAGGTTTCCAGTCCATCACAGAGAAACAGTAAAAGCACATGTGGAAGGGTAAGGTAAATTTCGAGTGGCATACTGGGAGGAAGTCAAGCCATCCTCCCAAAAGATGTCCAGCTGCCACATGTTTCCCAGGTAAACAATTCATGCACGCCCAACAATCTACTTCATGTAAAAGAACCAAGCCACCTTCCCCCATTGCTTCATGGTCAAAGGTTTTAAGATGATTTGATCCAAGTGTCTAGTCATCACAATTTGGTCCTTGTGAAACTTATGCACATTTCTAATGACGTACTAAACGTTCAGGACAATTATCACTTCTAGTATTTCACCCACTAGCAGATGGCATGTAGAGATGATCATACCAGTGGTCATAATGTTATGCCTGAATGGTGGTGTATATTGCTTGTCAGGGGAAGCTAGAAATGCAGTTTTCTTATTTTAAAAAAGCAGTGAAATGTCAGTTTTAATGGGTTAGCCCAGCCTGATATAGTTAGTGACTCTGCGGTTGAAAACATAAAAAACCTCAACATTTCTAAAACCTCCCATCAAAACAAGATATCCAAAGGTGGAAGCAACAGAAAATAACATTTCCTAAAATGTATTAGACAACAGTTCCTCCAAACAATCGAGGTCAGACTCCTGATGACACAGAAAAAGATTTAGTTGCACTCAGTACGAACAGATTCAGCCAAATTTCAGGGTTATTTTTTTCCATAAAGGTTAAAGAAACATCCAGAGTAATGATCCAAATGAATCGGTTAAAGACAAATCATAACCGAGGATCACTCATTTTAAGTTCAGTGAATATTGTTAGTTTTCTGGTTAAAATTGCTGTTTTTAATGTTTTATTATTAAAAAATTACCTGTGTTCATGAATTAAAAAGACATGTATTCTGGAAACAAAACGTGAACTGAAACCACGTTGATTTGGTCAGCCTGCAGCCTCTGCTGATGAACTTGTGATGTAAAACAAACAGCATATTTCAGTTCAAAGGTCTTAAAATCAAATGCTTCACTGAGCAACTCTAACAGTATATAAGTATCAGAGCTCTTCAACGATAAACCCAGCATTGTAGTTAAATAACCAGGATGTGATTACATATAAACAGTTTAAACTCTGGTACACTCACTGCTACCTGTCTGTGTAGATATAAAACAGTTTGGATGCAAACAATCACAAATAAGACTTTTAGTTTTGTGCAGGTGAGTTTAAAACAAACTGGTGCATGATTGTGACGTGAAAATAGTATGTGGTTTTAACATGTTTTACAGATGAAAGTCTTAAGAAGCGTGTCATTCATCAGTATTCTGGGCTCTTTATGCTGATAAGCCTAAATTAAATTAAATTAAATCCAGTTCACATATGGGTCATTTAATCAGGTTGTCAAAAAGTTTGGTTGTGACCTGACCAAATGTGGAAAGATATGCAGAGTGAAACTTTTGTTGAATTTCTGTTTATACGAGTAGCTGTAAAGTGTGTCCTGAAATTAAACTGGGTACACAGTGATGGTGATTCACACATCTTTGAATCAACGGTAACTTCTAAAATTCTTGTCCAAAGTTAACCTTGGCAACCAACATGTATTGTAAAGTCTTTTGAGCCAAAGCTCTAACCTTTGGACACTGATAAACTCTTTTTCAGTGGTTGTAAGAGCCTGCTGGGTTGTTTGCTGTTAGTAGTTGCTGTCAACAGTTTTATTACTTGGCTGATCGCAGTGTGACACTTTCATTCACCTGCTTGGGTTTCTCTTATGAAACAGGATGGCCCGTTATGAGAAACATTATGCAATCTGAGTCGGCTGCTTTTATTTGTCACCTGTTCAGACACTTGCGTCCGCTAAGTGCATTGTGGGAGCCAGGCGTGAGTGCATAGGAGGAAGAGGTACTACAGCATCCAGGGGCCCATCTGGGCATTATGCGCATGAAGGCTCCACTCCGTCGTAAGTTGCCTCTCCGTCTGTCGAAGCAGCTCGGAGACACGGCATGGCAGAAATCTGTTCCTCCCCTTTCACCATGGGGGTGGCAGTTTAGATGAGGATGGGGTTTTTGTCTTTAGTGTGTGTGTGTGTGTGTGTGTGTGTGTGTGTGTGTGTGTGTCGTATCTCTGTGGTCCTCCAAGCAGTAATGATTTAAGGAGTGTCTTCATATGTGCCCAGTTCAGTCCCAGCACTGCGGACCTCAGAGCAGACACCATTTTATTCCTCTCTGCATCGAACAGGACTCCTTTTCAGATTAACCTTTTGCCCTGGCACCCTGATAAAGTTACTCCTTGTTCCTGGTTCTGTTTCCTGTTGCCCTGCATTCCCTCCCTCACTGTGGTCTGTGTGATGTAGTCTGTGACCTTGGCAGGAATTATCCAATGGCAGATTGCTACATGGTAGGGGCACAGTAGCTATTATTTTGAGTCAGGGCAGGATAGACTGCCAATATTTCTTCTAAACAGAATGGGGGGGTGGGGGAGGCAAGCCGACTGAAATCAATTTCTGCTACGTGTTTCACTGTAACTGTTATAAACAGATTCATGGCAATGATATATTGCCAGTATTGTTTCACAGCTCTCTCTAGATGCCCTTTCTGTTTTTATTCAGTTTGTGAGGAATGACAAAGTGGTGATGCAAGTTTACAAGATAGGCAAATGTGAGCCAAATAAAAAAGGATTTGCTCCGTGTGGAGGAGGGTTCCCTAAAATGTAAGTTAGTCTTTTCCTTTTTGTTCCGACATTGATCTTGGAAAACCTCATTCAATCAAAAACATGGGTGAATAAAAAAAATCACATTCAAGAATCTAACTCCATTCACAGAAATGGAGCATTCGCATTGTGACCTATAGTTGGGACTTCAATTTACAGTTCTGGTCAGAAGTTCATCCATCTTATTCCATTCACTTTCTGCAATCGATTATGTGAAATATGCCTTTAGCATGATGTGGTCAACCCCATGCTTGGAAGTTGGTACAAGGCTTTTAGGTTAAAAGGCCTCAGCAGGAACACTTTATGTTCTTTGTCTTATCTTGAAGACAAAAGTGGAGCTTAATTGTGTTGATTCTTTGATACTTTGTCTTTTAGTTTCTATACTTTGGACCACAAATTAATATGAATCTGAATCTGATTTTGGAGCTGGTACTTTTCAGTCCATGTTGATGTTAAAAACTGGCTTTGGTTTGGACAGAGACACAGCTGTTCCAGTTGTTTCCTGTTCAGGTTTTAGTCACTTGAGTCTTGGTGTCTGCAAGCGTCAAACCAGTCAAGCCACTGGGAATTCCAACTGGACAGTGCCTCCAAACACACATTGATCCTTGGAAGTCTGCTGTCTGTTCTAAATAACTATAGGCTCATTGCCAAGCTACTTGTAAAGGCCAAACTTCTCAATTTCCTTGCTAGTGATCATTTAATGGGGCTTTTAATTAACAACTAGGTTGTATTTGACTTCTAGTCTGGGTTTAGAAAAAGGAAACATGGCACAATAACAGAAGCTCTGAAAGATATTAATGATTTTATCCATTATAATAACACACACTGTGCTGCCCTCTCTGCTGACCTCTCTAAGGCTTACAGTCCCACTCATTGCAAATGCATAATTTAGCAGATCTGTCCACAGAAACTGTCCACTGGTTGGAGCATTATTTGGCAGAACACATTGTGTACTAATGGCAATGCAGCTAAATACCTGCAGTGGTCTTCTCGGGGCTCCCATTTTTGGAGACTTGGATCTCATCCGTGTCTGCCTCGGCTCCTGGGGGCCACACTGCTTCCTTATAAACCTTATAAATACAAGCATGCAAACACACACAAGTCTGGATTCAGGTGTTCAGATATTTTGGGCTGTGGTTGCCACTAAATACATCTTTTAGTTAGTATTGTGTGCTTTTCAGTGATATTGCTGTTTTATATATGCATCTTGTCGCTGTGGTTTCTTGGTGTTTGTTTTTCTCTCTTTCTGCAGATGCATACACAGATTCCTGGTATGTCTTCTTGTCTTCTCTCAATCCGTCTCCCTAGACTTGTCATAATAACAAATTTTACCGCACAATAAATTGTCCCAGTAGTTATTGCAATTTATGATATTATTATTTTGATACCATTTTCAAGTGATTTATTGATAATAGCATAATAATGCCAGTTTGCTCCCTCCCAGATAAATAAACTTGATTTTTTTTAATGCTTAACACTGGAACTAAAAAATATTTTCCAAAATAAAACACACAACAAAAAAAAAAGAAAAAAATAGGAATAAAAACCACACACAACAGAAGCAATAATTAAAACTGATTATGAAGTCTGTGTAAATGAAATTGCTCTAACATATTAACCATCAGAGTAGAAATTATTGACCTCATTTCAATTTATAATATGATGAATTCATTAACTGCTTTTTGCGACAGATTTACTTCTACCTCTCCTCTATTTTTATTTCCTGCTTTTCTATTTATGTTTTATCCAACCTCTATTTCTTTCTTTTCCTTGTCAGAGTCCATTGGATTTGAAATGAACCCAGATCACTTTATAATAATATAATTTGGGCTATAATACAATAACAATATCGATCTCGATAGTCACATGATCAATATTAGTAGAAAATACATCCAATAGAATTCTGATATGCATCATGGATGTGGACCCAATAAATCTGTAACAACTGTACGGCGCTGCCATCATGTCAATATGAATCAAAATCTCTTTGCCACTAATAATTAGGCAAAAGATGGCCCAGTCAGATACAAGCAAGGTGTACCTAATATAGTGGCCAGAGTGTGTATGTTTAAGTGTGTCACAAAATTCTCTGGGTTGTTTGAAGGCCACTCTCATTAGTTCCTTAATTTACCTCCTTTTGTTGAGTAAAACCAGATCTCGGTCTTCCCCCCGTCTTGCTGCCCCCCTCGCCCCGCTCTTTTCTCGCCCCTTCCCTTCCTCCCATCCAGCAGAGGGTAGTTGGCACCAGTATAAAGCATCAGCCTCCTCCGACGACTCGTGCCTGACTCCTTGCCAACCTGTGCGCAACGAGAAAGAGGAATGGCAAGAGGGAGGGAAGGGAAAGAGAGAGAGGATTTTTGGAAGGAAACAAACCGAGCTGTCTGGAAATCAACCCAACGTCACCAGTTTGGCATGCTGGGATGGTACCTCTCCTGTGTCTCTGTGTGAGGAGGCAGCAGCGCTTGGACTTCAGTTGTGCGGGTGAGAAACACAAGGACCATAGGTTGAATCCGAAGGTATCAAAGGCTAAAAAAAAATCCACCACAAGACTTCAAACTGGGTGTTTGTTTTCCGCTGAGCACCAGATTGTTGCCCCTGAACAGTAGTCACCTTGATTCAAGCAGAATGGCAGGGCGTCCGGTCCAACGTTTTGGTTCTGATCCAGCCGCCTACAGCAGCTAGGCTTAAAGCAACAAAAGGTGACCAAAGGATTTTGCTTCATTCCTTACGTGGCGTACACTGTGATCTGCACTTTCCAGATATCTGCAAAAACAAAGGTGTGCTAAAGAAGTTAAGCCTGGATCCCATCCAAAACAGGAAAAAAACCTTTTCATGAGTCCTTTCCACATTTTCAGCCTGTTAACTTCTTTTGTAAACCCAGGCAATCCCCCTCCCTGCTTGTTTTTTGTCGTCTTCTTTCTTTTGCTGGCATAGTAAGGCAGCGTAGTGAGGGTATTCAGCCTGGTTCTTTCTCGATGCGTGTGTGTAAGATGGGGTAATTCTTGCAGAGTGGGGTGTGAGAAGGAGGGTGTGTTGGACCGGGCACAATGAAAAGCGCTAGCCTGGCACCAACTGGACCTCTGCCAGCTCCTCCACAGGAAAAAATAAACACAACAGCGGTCGGTGCACCAACAGTTGTGCTGCAGGTTGCATGCACGTCACCATGCAAGTGATTGTAAGAGCAAAGTGCGGTGGTGTGAGGAAGCGAGTGTGAAGTAATGATGGAGAGCAGCTGAAACACGTGGATATCATGTCAACAGGTTCTTGGCTAACTCGCCTTTTCTTTATTGTATATTTTCTTGTTTGTGTTTGTTTTCTCGGTGTTCTCACTTACATAAAGTGCTTCGTCTCTTTATGAGGTGTCTGAAGGTTTGGTTGTCTGAAAGCCAGGGGAGTCTTTCGCTTCCTCACCGGAACTTTCATCTGTTGCTTCTAACTGGCGATTTACTTCTTTTTATCGTTTTGGCAGGCGGATATCTCCTCCTCCGACTATTCTTTCCTCTCCTCCTACTCCTTTATCTCACACTTAACTCCCTCTCACTCTCTCATTTTACCTCTCGAAGTCATTTGGCAACTCCAGGGGGTGATATCTAGGAGACGGTGAAAATGGTAGAAGACAATTTCTTCTGTTCTTCCTCCGTCTCAAGTCGTCCAATGAGACAGAGAAGATTTAGCATGTCCGTCACATGGATGTGCTTTGATTCTGCAGCCGACTGTGCTTGTGAGCGTGACCTGGCAGCGCCAAACAACCTCCTGCTAAAAATAAAAAAATAAAAACACAGAATTGCTGCTCAATAGGAGTCCACGATGCGGCTGCCTGGGGGCATCCAGGCCTCCGTGACATTTTAGTCCTTCATGTGTCTGCAATCTGTTACTGCACAGAAAACCAAACGATTTTGTGAAATATCAAAAAATGCCCCAATACAACAAGACTTGTATTATCTGCTCAAGCGTTGCAGTGGCCCCTTGCTTCCTTTTTTCTTCAAAAGACCTTATCTTTAGAGTCCCAGCATGGGAAAACATTTTCTTTTCAGTGCTTCAGTGTGGTCTGTCTTTATCGTAATCTCCTCTAAGTCTGAAGCAAACTGCAGGTAGCTAATGATCTTTGGCCTTTTGTCACAGCTAAGGATCATCCCAGGCCTATCTAGGAAATGAACTATTCTGTCTGTATCGGATTAGTGATTTTTAGTATTCAGGTCAGTGTCACACATAACGTCACTTAATCGGACAATAAGCGATCACCTCATGGAACTTGGAATAAGCATCCATTACCGACATACAGCTAAGCTCTTAGTGTACGCTGTGGCCTGTTTATCTGGAGACAACTATTAGTGGTTGCAGTACAAACCAGCCTTGCTGAGTGGAGATTTACACGCTAAGTCACCTCAGTCTTCTTAAACCTTAATCCTCCTGATTTATCTGAGGGCCACACACACACACACACACACACACACACACCTACACACACACACACACACACACGCACCTCCCATTTAGCACTCTAATTTCAGGCTGCACTGTTTCTGCACTGTTGGATGTTTTCACTGTGATGAGATAGGACTGGTCTATATAGCTGAAGAACGTATCAGTTGATATTGATAATTATCGATGAGTTTTTTGTTTTACATATTTGAATTAGTATAGAACCTATGGCATGACTTTTCCTCTTTTATCCATAGTTTTTACTCGACATTATGAAGCATTTTTGAGGCACAGTGGCAAAAACTTAAACTGCTGCTGTGCACGTTACTCAACAAGTTGTTGCTAGGTAACCAGAGAGTGAGTGAGTTAGTTGATGCTACCAGCCTTGCCTTGGATGCTACAACCCCTGTAGGAAAGGCTTCAGCAGCCTACATCCTCCTGAAGGCTGTGTAGTTCTGGGTCAGAGTTCAGTGAATATTTCCTATATTGAATATTAAATATTCCATCAGACATATTACCTGTTGACATCGATCACATGTGTTATATGTTGTAAATCCTGTTGCCTTTCAAAGATATTAATCAAACTTTCCACATTTTGAACAACAATAAACTTGAATTTGTTTTTCTGGGATTTATTGTGAAATGAAATTAAATCCCAAATAAAACCTGAAAAGTGTGGTGTGTTTTTGTATTTAATCCTCCTGAGTCAACATGTTGCACAACCACCTTTTGATACAGTTACATCTGCAGATCAGGAAACACCTTCTTATCTCAACTTTGACTGGACTTTTGAGCCATCTGAGTAATAAAAGCAGAACTATAATGGCTTAAATGTGTGTAGTTGTATAAAGAGGGAACTGCAGGGAGAATCAGAGGGACAATCAAAGCTATGTAATCTCTTAAATATCTTCTCGTAGCTCTGATCCGTCAGCCTGGGTCAGGATGTTGTTAAATGAGAGCCGCTGAGGCCGACTCGACGCTGCGTTCAGGCTCTTTAACACACTGAAAGTCACGCTGTTTCGTTTTACTGTTATGATCCCATAACACATTTTCCACTGTTTTACCTCACAGACAAGCATGCCGTTAACGGGAATCCCACTGTGGAGCCTTTTCCAGAAGGCATGGAAACCATCATGTTTGGTGAGGTGGCACAGTCATCCGTTTATAAAGCCTGAAACTTCACCGCATTCATGAAATCTCTGTGTGACGCAGTGCAAAAAGGCCTAACTGAGCCTGTGTGTGTGTGTGTGTGTGTGTGTGTGTGTGTGTGTGTGTGTGTGTGTGTGTGTGTGTGCGTGCAGGAATGGGCTGTTTCTGGGGAGCTGAGAAGCTGTTCTGGCGGCTTCCAGGAGTCTTCTCCACCCAGGTGGGCTTCGCCGGGGGCTTCACACCCAACCCGACCTACAATGAAGTCTGCACAGGTATTCCACTTTGCACATTTTTTACTGGTATTTACACCTCCCACTCTCCGATTCCCACTAACAGATCCTTCTGCCTTCCTGCGAGGAGGTGAAACAGGTTGGCAGAACGTTTGACGCTGCAAGTGTCAAGGTTAAAGAGAATTTAAAGAAAAAAGGAAGCGGATGCAGAGGAAGATTGTTTTAAATAAAGCTCTCTCGTCTTGGTTCTTCCCTTCATCTGCAGTCAACTACTCAGAATGCACTGCTCCAGATGGGCTGCACCCCCCCAACATCCCCACCCCCACATGACCTACTTGTGAGGATTTTGCTCTCTGCTGTGCTGTATTGCGGTGTTTTTTTTAGTAACGGAGGTTTCTGCATCGAAGGCGCCATACATGGGCTTCTTTCCCACAGAATGTGATTTGCAGAAACAGATTCTGTTCTTGTTGATTGTAATGTTAAGAAAATTCCCATTATGTTATTGTAGCAGTCAAATGGATTCGTAGGAAGGTGATGCATATTGAAAATGAAGATGTTCAGCTGTTCGTTTGGGACTTTATGAGGAGGGAGGCGGCTTTGAGTCGAGGTGCAGGCACAGCATGAAGAGCACCGACAGGATGCTCCTTCACATGGTTTCTACCAGCAGCCTCCCCTGTTGCTGCTTCTCTCAGCTTCTTAGAAGCAAGATGGTCATCTGTGGAGGAAAATGGAGAAGGATGAGTAAAACGACGAGACTAAGTGCTCAAACGCAGGAATGAGTGAAATAAACTTTTTAAGGGAGCTTAAAAAAAAGCGTGAGAAAAAAGCAGTGGTCCTGTCCATCGGCTCAGAGAGAGCAGGCGTCGCTTCAGTGGCCATGACGGAGCAGAACACTGCGACGGCACGCGGCCGAGGAGCTGTCAGCGCCGCCATGGCAGGACGGACTGAATGAGACGGCTGATGGAACTGTCAGAAGAAACGGGAAGGAGAGGCAGGCAGGTGGATGGCCTGACGGACAGAAACAGGGGAGGATGGAGAGCAGTCAGAAATTCCCTTTGTGTATGCATCTATTATCAATCAGCATAATTTAAATCATTTACAGCACAAGCACACTCTAATGTGCCAGACAATTGCAACACAGAATGCAAAGCTGTGGAAGGAAAAATGGTATATACTAAGAACCTGAGTAAAATGATTGAACCAATAATACGACTTCCTGCCGTTTATTGAAACCGTCCTGTTCTCTGCAATGAGCTCAAAGGCCCTTCTGCATTTTTTTTTTTTTTTTTGCAAATCATTCAGAAGAGACACAAAACATGGTGGATGCCCTGCAGGTCAGGACCTCAATCTCTTACATTTACAGTTAGAAAGACAAAAAAAACACGAACCTCTTGTAGTTGTGGAGAAAAAGGTTTCATGAACAAAGATACATCTGCAATGATAACCAAAGCAATGAATGAAGATAAATTTGAAGGCCCACTGTTTAGAACAGCATGAGGTCAGGTAAAGTTACCATCTCTTTTATAAGATGTTGCCTAAAATATGAAGCAGAAAGTTTTTATTGGAGTTGCAGTTTTAGCTCATTTCCAGCTCAGTCTCTTCACATATGGTGTTATAAATACTCTGGCTTTTTTTATTTGTAAATGCATAAATAACATTTTTATTTTAGTAATTTTTGCTACAGTTGCTACATTGAAACATATTTGCTACATTATACATATATTTCAATTTAACTCTACACAGTGACAGTTCCCAACAGGTTCTGGGAACAAGGCTCTTGAAAAGAAGAAAAAGATCCAAGTTAGTAAATTCAGTTCAATTACATAGTCACATTCACATTAAATTAAAAACATTCATTTTAATTAAATGTATTCTAATTCAGTTCTTGCTAAAATACAATGCAGTAAAAAATATCTTTCCAGGGATGGTTGATTAAAATACTAATATAATTCATGACTTAGAGCAAAAAACTTAGTTCACATTTTATTTTGTGGGGTGCAATAAATGACACGTTTTATTGTAAAGAAATAATTAACTTTTTGAGGGGGAGGAAAAAAAATTACATAAATGCATACAACTCAAAAAGTGGTTTAAAAATAATGTAAGGGTGTGAACGCTGTACAAACACATTATTGCACATTTTTCAATTTATTTTTCCTTCTTTTAAAGGATTTGTTTGTTTTGCATTTCAGTTGTAAAGGATTATTGTCACATCATGACTTTTGACATGTTTTTTTTTTCTTTACGTTACAAAAACCTGACATTTTAATCCAAAAATAAAACAAACAATATTAGGAGCCAGTGTACTTCAGGACGTGTGAACATGACACTTTATCAGTACATCTTTGAAAAGCTCTACTCCTAACTTTACTCATTTTAATTGGTGTCCAGAGTTGCTTGTTTTCAGTGGCAGAGGAGTTAAACAGGCTGGCTTGTTGATTTTTTAGCTGACTGAATGGTCCTTCAGCAGAACATTAAAGCTCTGCAGCTTTACTGGTCCTGATCTTTCCCAGCCTTTCACCCTCTACATGTGGAACAAGCTTTGAGAGTCGTGGCACATGGTCACCTTTTCCTGAGAAGATCTTGTTTGTTCCAAATGAAATTGTTGCTTTTGGTTATGGCTAATGTCTCTGCAGCTGCTGCTGGCCTGTACAGTTTGTTGCTGTTATCGAGTATTTAATGCTCCTAAACTGTCATTTCAGTACAAAAATATGTAAATGCTTCCAATATATTCCTGTTATTTGTTGGCAGGCAGCTGTTTATGATTTTTTTTCTAAGATGATCATATGAAAATACATGTTTTATTTAAATTTTTTCCAGGCTTGTTAGCAAATCAAGCCTGGATTTATGTGAACTCAGTGATCACTGTACAATACGTCTACAGTTATATTACCTCTACTGTGCTGCAAGATTTTAGATGATGCCTCATTTACTAATAAAACGTGTCTATGTTAAGAAATGTAAAATACCTTTTCTGCTATGAACGTGCACAGATGCACATGCAGAACATATGAGACCTAAAGCAGCTCTCAGTTAGAGAGCACCTGCAGGCAGTTCGCTGAGGCTTCAGTATCCTGGCAGCTGCAAACAGGAATGAGTATCTGTGAGCTTTTGGCAACCTCCACCATAAGCTCCATCTTTTTCTTTGCCTGCATTTTCTCTCTCTCCATACATCCCTCTGTTTCTCTCTTTCTCCTCTGGTGCCATGAGAAATAACACAGCTCATAGGAGATTCAGCCTGAATGTTTTCTACCTGTGGTGCATGGACCCTGATTCTCTCGTCTTCAATTTTAAACTTGGAACTTCTTTTTTATTTTTAGTACTAAACATATTGTGTATCAGAAAGAGTATGAGGTGGATTGCATTTGTTTTGAGCGATGTCAATTTGTGATTCCCCCTCAGGTCTGACGGCCCACACTGAGGTGGTGAGGGTGGTCTTCTCCCCTCAAGACATCAGCCTGGAGGAACTCCTCAGACAGTTTTGGGAGAATCACGATCCTACACAAGGTAGGAGGAGCGCGCATCCAAACAAACCGCAGTCACCCTCCAAAAAGGAGCCATCCCAAGGGGGAGAGAGTGTATTAGAGCAGAAGGGTGATGCCCAGGCATGCGCTCGTGCATGTTGCAGTGGGGGGAAGGTCTCATGGGTGCAAGTCAATGCCAGACAGTGTTAATGTGTCTGAGACCCAGCCATCCATGATGGCGCACGCCACTGTGGTGCCACATTCAAGCCAAAATTGTGGAAAAAGTATTTCTTACATTGTGCACATCTTGCACTTTAAAAAAAACCCAAAAACAACAACATCTTTTATATACGAATAATGTAAAAATATAATTTTTTTAAACTTGAGCCTCTTGGAGCAAATGAATTTAGAAAATTTGACCTTTTTCAAGTAAATTGTGCCTGATTTAAGTGTTTGCCTTATGATGCATATTGCAGCATTATTGTGAAGCCTGCCACATATTTGCCACCCACACGTGCACAGCGTACCCATCCCCCACTAAAAGCCATCTCTCCATCTCTTCGAGTCTGGTGCTCTTGTTTTCTGTGCTCACTGGAGGAGGTGATGTAAGAACATTAATGCACCAGGAGGACACATGGAGGGTGTGTGTGCGTGTGTGTGTGTGTGTGTGTGTGTGTGTGAGATGGCAGGAACGGGCCAAATGGCACTCTGCTAGCTCATATTGAATGTAGGGAGGGTGGGACCAGGAAAGACGGATCAAAGATTCATAGGCCCGACCTTCAGCCCTAAGAGGCGCACGCACCTCGTTCAGTAGCATCACTTTAGGAAATGTCATTAAATACCTTACAAAATAATTTATATCCTTGATGATTTTACAGGTTTTTTGTCTTTTCACTCATAAATTTCATCGTTTGGTGTACATATGTATTCAGCCCCCTTTACTCTAATATCCCTAAATGAAATCCAGAGCAAACCATTGTTAATCTTTCAGTAAAGAGTCCATCCCTTTGTGTGTAATTTAGTCCCTTTAATTAATCCAGCTATTCTATTGAGACATCTTCAGTCTGTTAGAGAACATAACCAAATTCACTTCAGTTCAAAAACACTTTATTCATCACAAAGAGAAATTAAATGCTGCCATAACTCTCGTCATTCAAGTATCCTCTAAGAGTCGTTGCGGATGGTGATGCTGTGGCAGGAAGGATCTCCAGTAGCAGTCAGAGTTTGAATAAGTCTAAATAAATTTCTGACGTAAGACTCAGTAGATATTTAACAATCTCATGACATAGCATGTTAATATCTGGGCGACAGAGACGCTATTCCACAGTAACATGTCCTGGGTAACAAAAATATGTAATTTACTCTAAGCGTCATAGCAACTGTTCAAAAGCAAAAATCATTGCAGCTGCGCAACATCCAAACCTAGAGTGCATAGTTGTCCAAACATTCAATGCATCAACCAAAAAAAATTAACAAAAGTTTAGAAAAAGAACAAATCAGCGCTAAGGTAACAGATTTACTCTAAGAAGCAGCACAAATCTAGAGCAAACAACAGAACACAGGCTGCAAAACATCCAAAAGGTTCATAATTACTCTGGAGGAGCTGCAACAATCCATCAGAACTATTAGTAGTGCACTGCATATACCTGGTCTTTATGGAAGACTGGCAACAAGGACTTTTTTTTTAAAGAAAACCACACGATGTTTGTCACAATTCATGTAAGCTGCACAGAAAACACATGGAATAGCATACTTTAGTCGGAAGAAACGTGGTAGAAATGTGGTAGAAAACTAACACATTAAGAATCCATAACATTAAACTCAGAGTCCCATCATGCAGCTTTATATCAACACGGAACTGGTCAAAGTTGGGCAAATATAAGAGTCTGCAAAAGACTTGAAAATACGGTGGAGGTTCACCTTCCCACAGGCTGGGCCTAACCTTACAGCTAAATCTACAATCTAAATTTATCAATGTATTAAAATGGCCCAGTCAAAGTTCAGACCTAAATCTGTGGCAGTCTTCAAAATCGACCTAAAGCTGGTAGAGAAATACAGCTGAGTTTAAAACAGGTAAAACAAATGCATGTTTTACCTCTGGTGAAGATCTTTATTTTTACTACTTTACAAAAACACTCTATTCTGTGTTGGTCTGTCACACAAGAACAGGAATAAAATACTTTGAAGATTGTGGTTGCATGATGATGATCTGTGAAAAAGTTTTGATTGGTGTAAAATGAATCAAATGAGTTATGAGTTGTTGTTGTTTTGTTGCAGCTGTTTGGGTTTTGGCCGACCCATTGTTCAGTATGTTTAAGACGGGAGGCAGGGGAAGACATAGACTTTTTTTTTTTTTTTTTGGTTTATCTGAGAACCACATTCTCGTGATTAGAAGAGATTAGTCCCCTCTTCACAGTAGCCGAGGGAAGAGACACGTCTTACCACAGGCAAAGTCGCAGACAGAGTTGAGCCGACACGCCACAGGGCAGAGGCAGCGAGGCCAAAGGAGTCGTCATACATTTCCCCCGATCACACTGCCGTGGCTCATCTCATGTTTTATTAATAGCATGCAGCTAATTTTCTATGCACTCTGTTTTGTTAGTCACAGTTAAAACCGGCCGACATATTGAAAAATCACCGCAAACTCAAAAGTACTCATATATATAAAAATTTTTCCTAGGAGCTCTGCTCCTCACGCGTGACTTAAATGCGAATCCGTGCCGTTCCCCTGCTCTCAGATCCGGGGTTCACGTGTAGCAGAAATTCTTCTGATTTGACAAATGTAGCGTGGAGTGGTGGAAAGCGGCCCGCTGGCTGTGCCTTCATGCATGCTTAAGCTTCAATTTATTCTGTCCACCTTAGAGCTGAGCTTAAAAGAGAATGAAGAAATTAAAGAAGTTTGCTCTTTCCGCTTTGACCTGTGTAGATTCACTCGAGATGGTATGTGGGGAAAAGCCGAAGAGCGTTTTGGGATTCTGTTTCCTCCTGATGTGCACCAGCACGGAGGCCAGGGTTATTTAATAATCAGTGTTGGCATGTGATTGAAACCGTGCATAGGTACTTATTTAGTTGCATGTAATATGTGCAGCTGCAAATGCGTGCATGCATGTGCGCGTGGGCGCGGGTGAATGTGTTTTGATATCTGTGCCTTTGCTGCTTTGCCTTAGTTCAAAAGGGTTTAGTCCCAACAACGTGATGTCGGGCTGCATCGGCTCCACCAATCCCGGCCTGGATAGCAACATTAGCAGCCAATCAGAAACTCCCAGCAGCCTTTGCTGTGTGCCCTCTTTCCATATTCAGCAACACTAGTCTCAATCCGCTGGCTTCCCTGGGATGTTGCATAAACCCCCTCCACCCCTCGATACCCCCCTCGATTCAACACGCTTCCATATCATAAGTTTCTTATGTCTGTGTTTTGACAAGCCCTCAGCAGCATACCTTCGCATGCGCTCATGCACAGTTCTCAGGCACAAACAAATTGTCAACAAAGTGGCTTCTTTGTGTCAGAGGGTCACAGCAGTCCTGTTTCATCATCATGACTGAAAAGGTTGTTTGATTTCGAGATAAATATTCATGTGGCGGCACTTTAACCAATGCACGTTCACGTAAACATGCAAATAAGACCCACTAATAGCCTTATGTCTTTTTTTTTGTTTATTTTTTACCATTTATTGTTCTCAAATACCTTCAGAGGCCTGTAGGTCATGTTTTCCTTAATGGTTTCCTTAAACTTTGCGGTTAAGCAGTGGAAAATGGATCTTTTTGTGCAGCTTCTCTCTGTCATCCCATCACTGCATCTTTGCATCAGTTGCAACCCTCTGCTTTTCTCTGTTTCCCCCCTTTTACCCTTTTTCTGGTTTTCCTCTTTCTCCCCCGTTTCCCCCTCAGTTTTTGTGTTCTCTTCATGTTTGCACATTTTTCCATCCTCCCCCAACTTGTCAGGTTCACCTGCACCCCCTTCCCCCTCCACCCTTGTCCTCTTTGCAACGAACAGAGCGAAGGGGCGAGTGAGTGAGCAAACGGCCCGGAGCCCCTTTGGTACATCCGCAGAGCGGCACGCTGACTCGGCCGCTCCCTCAGGCCATCCGCTCATCACACAAACACACTCACATCCACTCGCTCCTCTTTTATCTCTTAGTCACTATCTCCTCCTGTTCCTCATCCTCCCTCCCCCCATCTTCCCTTCTTCTCCATCCCTTTCTTCAACCCCCAGCCGCCCTTCATCTTAACAACCTATGCTTTCCCACCCTCCTTGTTGTTTCCTCCTGATCCCTTTTCCTCCCCCTGTACTTCCTCTTCCCTCATTGCATTCATCCTCTCTATTTTTTGAGGCCATGCAGTATTTATGGTGTGGGCTTGCTGATGCTGCGTCAGTGAACAGGCAACTCAGGCGTGTGCCGATAGACACAAAAACACAAATGCACAGCTAAAATGGCCGATGCAGCTGTCCTCATTTGGTAACGTCTGCACGTACATGCACGCTCACACCGGTTTGGAAACATTTGTGGAGTGGGATTGTCGGAAAAGAGACTTTCTGCATATCTGTCTGACACGTTTTTGAGATGAAGTCGTTCACGGTTTGTTTTGACATTTCGCAAAACCTAGATTTTTAGATTCCCCTGTAAGCTGTGCAGCGCCGATCCACAAAATGAAGATACACTTTTGCAGCTCATCACAGATACAGGGTCAAACAATCAAACGGACATAAATCAAGCTGTCTTCCATCTGGCGGCAGTTTCTTTCTGACAGCTGAAATGAGCATGAATATTCCTTTATATAATATCTTAACCCCAGCTGGCTGCGACACACGCCAATTCCCTGTTGGGGTACCTCCTCATATCCCCTGTGTCACCCCGTCCCTTAATGTTAGGGGTGCTCCTGCCATCTAAAGCAAACCCCACTCCCATGAGGAGGCCTTGACCTCTGACCTGTGGCCCCAGCCACCCCCACACTCTCCTAACCTGACCCTGTTTCTCCTGCTTGGTTGGCTGATGATGGCCTGCTCGTTACCAGGTGTCAGTCATTACACTCTCACACGTGCTG